TTACAGTCTAAAGCTTGAAACGTTTTTTTCAATCAACGATTTACCAAATAAATTTTATATCCGGTGCCGGATATCGATAATATCTGTAATAATCCTAAAAACTACCTCAAAACTTTTTGCGCCTTCCTTTATAACTATTCGCGTCGGTGTGTGGAGACCTTTAGCCGATTGTGTCGATCCAAACATCCGATAGTTCCTGCTTCCAGTTCCCGCGGGGAGCTGACGTCGCTCCGGTTCGCACAAGATGCAACTCGCGAACCCGACGAAGAAGACGATGTGAGTGCGCGGTCGGGAAACTCGGCCGACAGTAAAATTCGTTAAAAATTCGCCGCATCTCGCGTACTTGTCTACGTTCGCAGTGTTTCTGGCGGCGATCGAACACACGAATGCGTCCGCTTCGCGCCAGTCTTGAGCGATCAAACGTGATGATTTCGCTCTACGTAAATTTTGCCCTACGGGATCCGAAAGCGGCCCCATATATACCTCTCGTCTCCTATACGATACAATCTTATCACAAAGTCATTATTACAAAATGTCTCTTATACTCGGCTTCTTTCCACTAGCTCTATCGTTTTTGTTTGTTTCTTTGTATCCGTTCCGTTTTTGGTATGTTTGCACGATCTAAGCCTAAAAAATCGCACGCGCGCCGGTCCCGCACGATCATTGTTCGTCCTTTCGCGTTTCCATTTCTAACCTCCGTCTCGCGCGTCCTTTCACACAGATAGACACACACACACACACACACACACACACACACGCACGCACACACACACACACGCACACACACACACACACACATACACACACACACACACACACACGCACGCACACATATACACTCGTATCCAACTTGCTTGTACGATATCAATTCGTCGCGACTCACATGTATGCGTGTGTGGGTATGCCTGCGTGTTTATTTATATATAAACAAGCGCCGAGGCGCTGACAGCAATCCTGACAATAGAGCCGATAAAAATAGTTTTCAGTCGATAATTCGATTTATGAACATGTATACCTATATTTATGTATAGTTATATATAAGAAACTTCTCGCATACGATTCGCGACGCGTGCCGCGCGTTCCTTATCCTTTTGTCCTGCTTCGTCGTGAAGACCGCGTAAGACGAAGAGCGTCGCTCATTGCCTGCCAGTTAGCCACGAGAATCCTCGTCGCACCCTCGACATATATGCGCGTACATTCGCACATACCACACTTATGCACACATTCACACATTCACACATACACGCGTGCACATATATGCGTATGTACATATATGTATAATATATTTATATATTCGTATATACACAGGACCGCGGGGTGGACAGACGGTTAACATTAGCGCGTTTAGCTTCGTTCGAGGAACCCAGCTCGGTCCTGTCGGTGCATCGTCCTCCGCTACTCGTTCCGCTTTCCTGGCACTTTTCTCTTCGTCGTGTTTCCTCCGCATGCGCGCAGCAGTTTTTTTCGGTCGCGAGTTTCCACACACCTCCGGGGCGTCCCGCGTGAATTCTCCCGCGAGTCCGACGGTCGTCCACGTGAATTCGTCCGCATGCATTCGTTTCGCGAGAACGAAGCGTGTGACAAGCGTGGATCGACAACGATCTTCTCTCGGCGCGATCGCGAGAAACGAGAGCGGCTTCGCGACATGTCGCTCGTCGTCGTGGACAGATGGTACGGATGCGCGAGAGGCTCGAGGGTAGGAGACGAAGAGAGAGAGAGAGAGAAAGAGAGAGAAGAGGTCGGAGAGGTGGAGGATCTTACGGCGGAAGTGAGAACGCGTGTTGGGTGGGTGTTGTTCTTTGTATAGGCACCGACAGACACAGATAAATTGATCGAGAGACTGACCGGGGAGTCGTGACTGATCGATCGACCGACCGAACAAACGATCGATACCGATTTGACTGACTGAGACTGACATGGCACGGCGACTCCGATCGAGAGTACACGGTCACAACGTCACAGGCCACCTGCTGGCACACAAACAAACACACGGACAGGTTAGTCACCACCACACACCAAATATGAAGATTCATCCCCGAGCAAACGCGCGCGGTGATGGTTCCGCCGGGGCCCCGCGAGACATCCGATCTATACATCTCTGCAGACTCGCGCGATCGGCTCCGCCGAGCTAGGACACTCGTGAGCTTCTTGTCATTCTGCACGATGAGAATGCGGGGCCGCGGTGCGATCGCGGTTCCTTAAGACAGAGCGAACTTGGAGGAGCAATTAATTTCGTCGGCGATCTGCAGAGAGCTCGAATAAATGTATTAGTCAAGCTTCACCTCGCTCGAGGCTCGGCCACAATGAAAATTTAGCACAGAAAGATGGTATCGTTACTTAATTCGCGCAATCGTAAAAAAGGTATTAAGCGTAGAGTTAACACTTGAACGGTTAGCGGTTACATCGCGAAAGTTACACGTCTGATAAGAAAATTGCGCGCATAGCGCGCGGAAGAGAGTCACTTTGACTATCAAGCAAAGTTCGAACATCAAAGGGCCAAATGTGACGTTCGCGGGGCCTCCAAAACCGACGACACCGTGCATCGTGTACACAGGTAGTTTGCCGAACCGTCCTTTTCAGACACGAGCAACGAGCATCCACTTTGTTCAGCTTGACAGACAGTCACAAGGAAAGAGAAACAAAGTGTTTGACGGCGCATCAGTGGAGACTCGTTGTCGATGCAACGCGCTCGGTGAAATTCGCCAACCGTTTCCGGATTCAAATTGCATGCGAATAACTGCGGCGGTCGTTCCGCACTACTTGGAAGTTCCTGTCGCCTTTGGCGATTGTTCCAGAACGTTAACCGCGACGAGTGACATACACTTCTTGGACGCAAATTACGACTTCGTCCCTTGATTCACGGAAACACTTGGCGAATCTCATCCATCGCTTGCGACGACCGGCTGCGTCATCCCCCTCCCCCCTCCCCCCATCCCCCAAAAATCACATAGCAATGTTAGTACTACTGACTAATAAAGCGTCGTAGCGTGATTAACCATTAAATTAAGAAGAAAAAAAAAGAACAACTTAGTGATATTATTACCACGTAAGAACGTATCGCGAATTCTGTGCGCCTCGAACAATGAACGAAGGATATACGCACGGCGTAATAGCTGCTGGTATAATTACAAATGAGTGAGGTAGGTCCTTGTGTGTATTGCTCGTATATGCCGGCTCGACTGCCGGCTAAAACTACGTGGTTATTGTAATAGAGAATAGATAGATAGAAAGATAGATATATAGACAAAGACAAAGAAAAATAGATAGATAGAGTAGAGAAATAGAAAGAGCTATAAATTATACAAAGAATAGAGGAAAGTGAAAACAACAGAGAGAAAAATCAAATCATCAAATGGTTACAAGGTACGACTCGTGAACGCTGTGTGAAAATTCAAAAGCGAACTACTCTTACTCTCCTAGAGGGGAAAAAAAGCTACGTATGTTAGTGAACTTCACGTACGTAATTCCACTTTGTGCAACAGTAAGTTAGCACAGAAAGCTTTATACTGGCAGCCTTTACAACGAGATGTAGTTTGATTGCATTGCCGGGGAACGTGCCGGCGGGTTTTGTACCTTCGAGATTCAAAGAGACAAACATATTTTCGACACCGTGCGATAAATACGGGCGAATATTACGATTTAAGAAAAAGAGAAACAGAGAGAGAGAGAGAGAGAGAGAGAGAGAGAGAGAGAGAGAGAGAGAGAGAGAGAGAGAGAGAGAGAGAGAGAGAGAGAGAGAGAGAGAGAGAGAGAGAGAGAGAGAGAGAGGGGGGGAAGGGGGGGGGGAGAGAAAGAGAGAGAGGGAGAGAGAGAGGGAGAGAGAGAGAGAGAGAGAGGGAGAGAGAGAGGGAGAGAGAGAGGGAGAGAGAGAGAGAGAGGGAGGGAGGGAGGGAGGGAGGGAGGGAGGGAGAGGGAGGGAGGGAGGGAGGGAGGGAGGGAGGGAGGGAGGGAGGGAGAGAGAGAGAGAGAGAGAGAGAGAGAGAGAGAGAGAGAGAGAGAGAGAGAGAGAGAGAGAGAGAGAGAGAGAGAGAGAGAGAGACCCATATTACGAGACTCGCGTGCTTTACGACGAACGTGTGGCTGTTCGATCTTTGAGCGTGCGTCGTTTACATTCGAACATGCTCTTCGCGCACGACAGATTGAATTCGAGAGCGATTGAATGCGTTTAACGCTAGATACGCGCCAAAGCCCGTTCCAGGGAAATGTAACGAACTTTTATCCGAGACTCGAATCAGTTTAAACCCGGGCAGCCTTTATTCGCCTCGCGGCTTGATGCGTGAATGGAAAAGTCTTTGGAAGCATTGCATGTCATTTATTTCGAAAGCTGCTCACTTGCCACGGCTTAGTCACGAGTTCGAGAGATCCGCTCACGAAACGTACGGATACATCACGAGCTGCAGCCGTGTCTTATTTCACGCGTTAAGCGCCGCTGCGTCGGGCTATGCGGAACCTTTGTGCTGCTGTGTGCGTGGATTCTTAGAGCTACATAGAGGCGCTCGTTGCTTTCTCGTTGCGGTCTCGATCTCGATTAATTATATCTCGTCGGACTTGTTAGATACGAGCGCGTACGCTAGGAATAGAGTCCATAGTCATACTTTCTGAAATCGGTCACTACCGACTACGAAATCGAGCTGCCTGAAATAATACTGACCCGTTAATTTTATCTTGTCGACCATAAAATTACTGGAATGAATTATACCGAAGAGAGAAAGCACAGTCTTGGGACTTGTCTATATATTTAATACGACACTAAAGGGGTCAACAGACGGTGACTATGACACACGAACGCGACATGGCACGGACGTGAGTGGAGTAGACAGATCGTTGGATTAAAAATGTACTTGAGTTCACACACGGGCGGACCGGCAGGTAAAAAGAAAGAGATAGAAGACAATTCGGCGGGACAGTTCGCACAAGCGACACGTTAAAAGGATAAAGAGTACGTTCCTGCACCTCGGAAAAAAAGTCAGTCCGATGGACAAGAGAGTCTTCTGGATTATCACAGCCTTGTTTCGATAGGACGGCGAAGGTGTCGAGCGGCGAGACGTGTCTCCTCTTCGGCGTCCGAAGAACGCTCGATCGTAGCTCGTTAGCTCGCGCGCTACCCTTCGTGAAAAATATCGCTTGACTAGAGAGCACCGTGGAATACCTTTCTTCGTTTGCCTATAGACCTAGAGACCTATTAGCTAGCTAGCTAGCCTGCGCGAAATCCCGCGCAGCGGGATTCATCATCTCGTGTCATGATAATCGTGTCAACCGACGCGGTTGTTAATTCGTACGCGCGATCGCCGTCCCCCGGATTGAGGACGCCGTCGAGCCGAGGCGAGGTGTCCGAGAAGTCCTTGGTATCTACCTACGAACGCTCTGTGACATCGGCTAGTACGGCTTGCAGGCGTCCTTGGACCGTTTCAACTGGACCTTCAGTCGCTTCATGCCGATTTGGAAACCGTGCATCGTCTGGATCGCCGCTTGCGCGCTCGACGCGTTGTCGTACGACACGAAACCTGGAATAACGTCGTTAAATTCGTTATTACTCGCGTGCAATGTGATGCACTCACGCGAAGTTAGATTGGGGGCGGGACGAGTACGACATCTAAAATAAAGTGATTGCGACGCAACGGAATCTTGTTCTCAACGCAGTTGTCTCAACACCGCGTGTGATAATGAACGCGACTCCCCTCCGTCGCGATTGAAGCCGCTTGTATACTCGTACTTTATTCTTCAGATCAGAGTCGTTCGATTAATATACCAGCACTTCAACTCACCGAAGCATTTGCTCATGTGCGTGTGCTTATCTATAAAAACTTTGGCGGATATGACGTTGCCGAACGGCAAAAAGGTGGAGATGAGGTCCGTGTCATTGAATTCCTGCGGTAGGTGGTAGATGAAGAGGTTGCAGCCTTCGGGACCCTCGATTTGCTTGTCCGTGTTGCTGAACTTCGTCTTCTGCGCCGCCGCCGCCGCAGCGGCCGCAGCCGCTGTGAACGCCGGGAACCCTGAAACCCAAATACGTCGATGATGCTCGCGTTATACGCAGCCGAGGGGCGCAATCCGCGGTTGCGTTCTTCGAAGTGACGTAAATCTTGAAAACCTCGCGATGATTCGGAATCACGCGTTCAAGGACAAGGAAGGTGCGAGAAAGTGAATCGGGGAAATTTATAAAGCAGTCAGGAAACATCGACAAAGATATCGAAGATGTGTCGAATGATATCTGTGCCGCGACCTTTATCAAGTGAATTCGCGACCCGATCGCGATTGAATTAATTGTCCCTCAAAATTTGACCTATGTCACTTCGAGATAAACAGTTCGGTTATTGATACGATTCTACGCATCGGCTTGGCGCGTCCCAGCTTACAGCAACACACCAAATAGACACGACTGATCTATCATCGTCTGATCGGATTCATTTGAATCCACTATCCGAATAATATCGCGTAACCTAGTATAACCGACTATAAGCATAAACAGATAAGCATTGGGCGCGGTAGTGAAGGACACAACGAGAGAATAAAAAATATAGTTACTTAATCTTCTGCGATGTATATGTATGTAGAAAATTAGAAAACAGGTTACACACATAGCAGAGCTCAAGGGAATGCGTGTGTAACGCGATCTCATAAGCTCTCTCTCCGATATTCGCAACCGTGACACATCGTAACGCCTCCGCTTACTTAATTGTTTACAAATGTATATTTTATGTGCGCTGGGATACACACGGGTACTTCCAATAGGCACATGCGAACCTACCGGTTGTTCTTCTTCAAGCACTCATTTCGTTCACCTTCGTATTCTGTTACTTTTCCTGATCAGTTCTTCTAATCGCAGAACGCTTAATCTTAGTGCCTCGTGCTTATATCGATCGCGCTGAATGTTTCGCGGTGAAAATTTCGCGATTAATTCAGAAGTGAACGACATGAGGGACTTGACACGAAACAAAGAGGAAAGAGAGAGAGAGAGAAAGAGAGAGAGGGAGAGAGAGAGAGAGAGAGAGAGAAAGAAACGTGGACGATTCACAGAAATGCATATCCAGACAATTTCTACTCGTTTATTACTCACTATGCAACTCTTTCTTTTCCACGGTCACCGTCGTCTTTCCAATGAGAGCTTTAATGCGCACAGTTTACTCGTTAGAATATAGCACTTTTTTTCTGCGTGTTCATACGGATCACAGAGAGGCGCAGTCTAAGCTGCGCGCACATGACGCTTCTCTGTGTGCACACGAAAAAATGACCGTATGGGCCATAATAATCACCTGCATACTGTTGCAAACTGGAGTAAGCGTTGCTCAGCGAGTCTTGAAGCCCATTTAGCGGCGTGCCCGTCAAGGAGTTGAGAGTGAGGGACGTCACAGGACTGAGACTGCCCCCGGTAGACCCTTGAAGACGAAGACCAAGGTCATATTACTTTCCACTGATCCCCAAGTGCAGCGCGGACGATGCCCAAGCCTAATTAATTCCGAGGCATGCTGCGACATCGCGAAAATAACGACCGTCGCTAATCCGAATCTGTTATTACTAGTTATCACGATTAGAAACAGGAAGCTCGTACTTGTGCGACATAACGAATTAGTGCTATTGTATAGTGCTACAGTGCATTACTTCGAATAGTTTCAAATTCTACGGTATTTTCTCCTCATGACAATTTCTATCTTTCCTTTCTCCATTATGCGCGGATAGCACTGGTAGACGGTTTCACAATTGATTTGAACTGCACGTTAGTTTTACAGTGAGCGTCGTGAGTGAAATTTTAAGTGGCACTTTCGTGCGACACATGATTTATATGAAGGAGATACAACCTTTATAAAAAAGAAACAAAATTTAAAATATGCACAAGTGGATAAAATTATGAAAGTTACGATATACGGTGTATAACATATTTTGCTTCACACGAATTTCTTCGACATATTTTATAGAAGCGTAAAAATATATCTCCGATATACCGAGGGAGAAATATGCAACGAGATAACGATTTAAAAGTAGCTTGTGCAGTACATTTTCATGCGTAACTATTTATGTGGTAAAAAGGAAAAAAAAGAAATCACGCGCTAATCCCCAGGTTAATTGCAAGAAGCGTTTCAAGGAAAACAGCCGTACTATTTTTTTTTCTCATTATGCCGAATAGGCATACATTACGTAAATTCTTGTTACAAAAGAATCATGCGCCCGTTAATTGCGATAAGCGTCTGCGCGTGAATTATCTACGTTCAATACATCTCAAATAGACATTAATTCAGTCCGGTATGTACATATTGTTAAAACTATGATTTACAATATTGATGAAGGATAAAAGTATGCACGTTCCTGAAAGCTCCAACCAGGTCTCGCCAATTGATGCGTTAATTCAATGTTTGCGAAAGTTTTTTCACGACAGCAATTTAGCGCGCAACAACAATCAATTGCTAATTGACTCGACTGTCGCCATATATTCGTGGATAAAATACACATGTATATACATGGATGTCATGAAATTATTATAAAATCGCCATTTTTTCATTACGAATATATTTGGAGTTATTTTCCTCCGTAAAAATTTGGCATTTTTTCATCGTTTTTTGATATGCAATATGCAATTTATTTTTGAGTGAATATTTCGTCAAGAGCAAAGTTGACTGATCAAATTAGGGGAGACCCGTTTGATGAAGTCTGCGACAAACAATGATCATCAGTGTTGCAATACGAAATATACGAGAGACGATAAAAAGAAATGTACAAGAGTGATAGTGAAGAAGTAACATTGACGGGAGAGGGACTTGAGAAGAAGATAACGAAGAGAAGATATATAACGTCTTGTGATACAATAAAGAATACGAATCAAACAGCTTATCTTCCATGAACTTGTCTCACCTGTATTTCCTGTTTTTCCCAGAAGGGCAGCTACGCACGAAAAAAATATGCAATGTTAAAATTGCGATGTGTGTTCACATTAAGAGAAGAAAAAAAGAAACATAAAGTGTAAAATGCGATAATAATGAAATTCATTACATGATCATGTTTAAGATTTGAAAACAATGAAACGCTTCTGTCTGCGGCTTATATCTATTGCATACAAATCTACATAACAGCAGCAATGTAATACGTAAGAAGCAGACGACAATATTTATAGATAAACGTCTAAATATTATGCTCTTGCATTATGCTCTTATGTAAATTTCTGTGCAATTTCTGTTCTTAATATACGATTCTTTTTCCTTCTTTTGATAATCGTATACGAATTTAATTTGATTTATTTAATAGGAATCTAATAAATTCACATAAAATCATCGTAAAAATTTAATAATTTATGTTTTTAATAATTTAATAGTTAATAGTTGCGTTTGAGTAAAAGGTGAAAAAGTAAATGACTGAATTAGACCGCTCTGATAACAAATTAATTGTCGACGGACGATAATCGATATTCATATTATTGCAAAAATTGTTTTTGCTCATTTTTAACACTTGACATATTCGCATACGATCGGTCACTAATTGCTTCATCGATTGTACTAAAATAGGCGTTCTTGGTAATTTCCACTTGGGACGATTGTTTATCATATATGTAGCGCACGATGCGGAGATCGTGGATAAGATCAGGAGTGAGTTTGTATCCATGGAAATTGAAACATATAAAAAAAAAAATAAATGAGTTCCAGAGAAATCCAGGGAGCGCGCGTGTATGTGTGTGCGCGCACGCGCAGGGGCTATTAAATAAGCGAAATGAGAAAATCGAACCGTCAACGGGATTAGAGGGGGGACCCTTTTGCACAGTCGAAATTAATTTAGTAATTGTTAATACTGTACCAGGCAATATGCGACACGTACATAGCGACATACCTGCTGTCGAATTCGCCAGGCCGCTTAACGCTGAAACACAGAACACGTTCGCGGTATTAACAAGCGGGATCAGTGATATATATATGACGTATTCTCACGAAAGGAAGCTTTGACGGGATTTTCTCGGCGGCGCTGTCGCAATTCCGTTTTTAATTGCGATGATGAAATTGCGGCGGCGGCGGCGGCGGCGACAGTACGCGCTCACACTAGTTTCAAATTAATACGACTAGTCAAGTTTGCACGGCTAACTGTGGCAACGTCTCCGCGATAAATATTTGTCTTTCCCGTTATACTGTTACATCAAACGCAACATGTAAGCTCAGCACTGTTGTCACTGGGATATCTTACCAGATAAAGCGGTCTTAGCTGTAGAGACAATTTTGGCTGGATACGACGAGTAAATGTATGACAAATTCTGATACCGTAAATTGCCCAATTTACGGTATCAGAAATTAGAAGAAAATTAACGGGAGAGAAAACCGAAAAAGATCACTGATATATGTATATAAGAGTATGTATAGAAGAGTTTGTTATTAATTTCTAGTAATCATATTTTATAACGTTCATTGCAATTTCACAAAAAATTAAGCTTCTTTTTCTACCAAGTGCTTCCGACTAAAGCTATGAACATATGCATAAATTAATATCAATTCAAGAATACCACACACAGATTGCGCCTACATAGGGTTTCTAATGTCTCATTTTGTGCGATCAAGATCCATCCGTTCAATGACGATTCAGCCGTGATTACTGTAATTGTCAGAAAAACTTGTTCTTGCGCAAACAGTATTTGCGCAATCGCTCGCGTGTGAAGAACGCGACGGAGTAGCCTGCATACTTGACTCACTTTCCTATTGACTTTACATAAATTGTAAAGAGAGCGCGGTAACGTGAACACGCAATGTAATAAAGGTGTGTTAGTTTACTCTGCTCTGGTACGTTATAAAATATGATAAGAGGGTAATGGTGCAATTAACTACGGAAATATACGTCTTACCTGTGGACTTTGTACATTTACATGATTCAGCGTGCACACAACACGAAGAAGATACACAGGTTACTAGAAATTTCGACACGTTTACTTGGTAATACCGCCCTCTGCCACCGTTTAATTATCACGCTTCACGAATAATCGTTCTGTCTTAATTCGTTAATACTCGATCACCAGATTCGTTCAACGAACGGAAGAAACAGTCAACACAAATTTAGTTACGCTCGATATTTTGGATGTTTACTTCGAATTTGGTGACAAAGTATAGAACATACAGCGTGTTTCGCGAGTTAATCTACACATGTAAATAATAAGTTTCTGAAGTCAGTCGGGACTCAAACTACAGTGATAATTTGCAAAATGAAAAATTTGGAATAATTTTTAATCATGAATAATAATGTAACCGGCGAGAGATCAATTGCCACGATCTCGCTGAAATGATCTCGCTAAAAACGTTTGAAGAGTAACAATATCCAATCGACCCAACTGATCCACGTATGATATATTCGCCCGATGATTGTCATGATTTCTGTCGTTTCTCGCGAGATACATTGTGCAACTTGCAAACAAAGTTGGAGTCGAACGCACGTTCACTTTTTCTCCCGACTGGCTTCTAGCCATGCATTGTGCGCGATCGCGCGGTATGTCTCACGACACCTTCCTCATCGTATACCGCGCGGTATCGCGATTATAACGTCTGTTAATACACTCTGTATGAAAAGGACACGTATAGACACGCCGTCGCATTATTACCGGCGCCGTGATCGCGCGGCTTCGGCGCGACTTCGGCCGGCCGCTTTTCCATGCACACCTACAAAAGCACGGACAGTGTTCACCCGTTCGGCCTGGAACTTCGACAACGCATGCGATCATTAAAGTCCGACTACCACGCTCAAGCGGATTTATACCGTCTAGCGCGGGTAACGTACGTGATGCACAAGCGTATGGGTGTTTTGTACAATCGGTAGGAGGACGGGCGGCGGTAACAGCGTGGGCGCGAAGTTACGTATATAATTCGAAGCGCCGGACAGTTCCGCTCGGAACTTACAGCTGCACGTTAATGTACGATAATGTGTTCTCTGATTATGCACCTCGCGAAATATTCTCTACTCACTGTTTGGCGACACCTGGAGGTTGCCGTTTCCGCCGGTCATAGCTGCTAGGGTGACGAGGTTCTGCATACTCATCGGCGACACTCCCGCATTCGCTGCAACACAATACGTCATTCGCTGAAACATGCGCTGAGACGTGACTTATCGTCCACCTCAGGCCTCCTCGGTTGTATCTAAGCGACTTTATATTTCGATTCAGCTGCAATAGATTTCTTTCTACACCTGAAACGATCACGTCTCGTCGCGTTGTTTTTTCAATGTTTTTTATCTGACGACGAGTCGTGGCTTTGCGCAATATGCTTTTTTTATGTCTAAGTATTTTACTGTTATATTGATTTTCAGAGGGAAACAGTTGCAAAGCGTAACAAGCACGGGATAATGCGGCAAAAGAAATTTTATAATCGTAGAAAATGACAGGATTCATCCGATGATTGTTTCAAATCAGATACCATCAACGGAAGAATTTTGCGCGACAGAGTTCTCTCTCAAGATTGACGGTTTTTACCCGTTCGTTTAACCCGTTGAATTGAAAGTCAGATCCTTCGTCGAAAGTAGCCACCGTCATTTTCTGCGTCGAGCGTAGACATAAACTCATTGCGTGACGGTGGAACGTCATCGGATGACCATACGTTCCGCAGCAGTGAGCGGTAAACACATATTTCAGAATAAAGTTAATGATAGATGCGCACGACGGTGTATCATCGTACTGGCATCTGTCCCGATCCCATCAAATGCAGAATTTTATTATTGCCGTGCATGCTGGCGCAGGACGTTTCGTTATAACTTTCGAAAAGATACGGCCCGCGAGACGCGCTCGCAGCGAGCGGCGAAAGTTGGAGAATGCAAAACGCGAAATAATATAATTTATTCTGACACCGATACGAATGCATCGAACGAGTAATTTTGACGAAGAAACGGATTGAAATCATATTCCGCCTGATAAAATCAGATCGATCGAATTTTACCCGGTGCTTTGTGTTGGAATGGTGGCGACACGGCTGACATATTTCGGAACAAAAGTAGATCGTCTCCCGAGCGAAATTGTATATTTAAACTAGTTTGCAAGATTTACGTTTTTACTAAACGAAAATAAAGATTCTGTAAGTATGCGGAGAATTCTTGCACAAAAAGGTGTCGCGAAGTTGAACGTGCGTGTTTGTGCAATATGAATAAAGTTAAGGCTTTCGTAACCGGTTGTTACGATACGATAATGATGAACATGATTCCATAATAACAATGCGGAAGGTAATTGCACGAAGCGGATGTGAATAACATGAGTCTCGTGAATGTCTTATACGCGTAAGACTATGAGCAATTGATCAAGTCAGAAATCTATAAAAATACGTTTGTAGGAAAAGCGAGATACAAATCATTAAACCCGTCATAAAAACATGGGAAAGGAAAATATAGGAAAAATATAGGAAGGAAACCTCACTCGAGGAAACCTCTCACGATTCTCAGTACATGTATATGTACATGTACATGTACTGCACATTAATAATACGTTCAGAGAAATATAATCGAGCAAGTAATGAGATATTTGAAATTGAAGCAGTTCGATATAAGCGTAACAGGTAGACATAGCCTGTCGGGTTCCTCGAGAAAATATCGGTCATACCACATTGTGCAAAAAAACTCCAGCTTCGCTCTGATGCCTGCTAATGAAATATAAATCATAGTCGAGGAGCGCGCGGGGCAGAGTAAACATGCGTGAAAGTAAAAGTATGTGCAAGCAATCGACACTAACCATACTCACCAGCGGTATTGCTGAGGGATGCGAGGGTGGCCAAACTCTGTAGATTCGCGGGGTTGATTTCCGGCGGGCTCGGCACGGCAGGGGGTGCAGCGTGAGCAGGTGTTGCCGCACCAAGGCCAAGGTGTTGTTGCAGCAGCAACTGATGCTGCACATTCGACAATGCGTTCGCCCCCGCCGTGTTCGCGGCAACCGGAGTCGCGGCGCTTGTCGTCGCCTGCAACTGCTGCAACAGCTGCAGCGACGCAGGCGCCAGAGTATGCGTGTCGTTCTGCAAGCATAAACGCGAAGCCTCGTCAATCGTGATTGATCGTAGCGTCGTAATATTTAGTTTTAGCAACTGATATTTTCCGCGGTACCGCGGCGATTTTTGCAATTTACGCCCGGAAACAACCTCATTCTAATTTCTCTCACTGCGAGAGGTCTATGATTTTTAGGTATATAATTCCTTTTACACTCAGAACTTTTTATATCTCGAATTTTCCGTATTCTCGTATCCATTACCTGACTTTCCGTCGGATTTCCGAAAGCACCGTGTTCTACTTACTAGAACTTTGTTTAGAAGTCTGTGATTTTTAAATAATTCTTTTTGAGTCCGGGATTGTTGTTATTATAGTAAAAATGTTCGATATTCGTTCGTGTCGACTGAGTTACTTCTCGTTTATTATCGTTACGGAAAAATTTATCATATGAAAATGCTCGTGGAGTTTTACGCGAGAGGTTCATGAGACATTTGAAGGAAAATAGAAGCAGGCGTAATCGTATATTGGACGTTAAACTCACAGAACAAAGAGGTGGTGGTCTTTAAAAAGGTCCTAGCCTCTTCATTTCTTTTCTTTTTACGTATATTTTGCATAACAAAATTGTGGTCGCCGTATAGAAAGTCTCAAAGGCTGGATAATGCATACGGGTGTAAGGCGCTCAAACGATAGAGCCATAAAGAGCGTCTCGTTCTCGATGCAAATGGAATCTTTGATACCCCGGCCAAAGAGCTTTCATTGTAAAATATTAAGCATACGTACGGTCAGGTAATGCGGCGTGATGTTGACTCCCGCGATGTTCCAAAGATTCGACTGGAGTTGCTGCATCCTCTTCTGATCCTTCTCCTTTTGCGTATCGGCGAATTTCACGACTAACGGCGACGAGCAACCCTGAAAATTATACGACGCGTTGACGCTGCGTGGTCGTAAAGGAGACGCGAACCGTAACGAAGGGAAAGTCGATCCTAAAGTCCCGACGTAAAGTCGATATTAATCCGATCAGGATCCCGATAGGAATCAGTTTTGCCCGCGTCGGCACAGCCGAGTGCCTCGAAACTGGAGCAACTAATGATCATGCTGCGGTTTGGAGTCGCGGTAAAAGAGCGAGGGAGGGAGGGAGAGAGAGAGAGAGAGAGAGAAAGAGAGAGAGAGAGAGAGAGAGAGAGAGAGAGAGAGAGAGAGAGACATAATGTACACAACATTTCTCTCCTGCTGCCTGCGAACCGCAGGCGACATTGACTGTTCTAATTCCAAGGGAGACCCGTATCTCGACCCGTCTATCGACATTCTTCGATGACGGCATTCGCGTATATATCGCGGCGATACGTATCGGTCGAGACAATCACGTCTCTCGCTTCGTCAATACCAATTTTCCAAGATGGAGCTCCGCGCCACACGCTTCGATACGTCTCGTGCTTAGCTTCGAATTTCCGTTTCCATATCCCGCGTTCTTTCGGAGCGTCTTTTCGCGCCTAAACCCCGTGCCCCTTCGTACGATGTGATTATTGGTTCAAGTCCAAGTTCAGCATTGGCGTGAGAACGGATTCGCCGGCGATCAGGCGTTACATTCGGGGAAAGAGATACTCTCGTTCGGCCGCGGGACCACCGGGTGCACGCGAGTATCGCGAGGTCGATGCACCGTACACAATGCGCGTGCAATCGTAGACGCGAAATCGGCGTGCCGGTAGCGACGACGAGCGAGCGAAGTTCGAGGAACCTGCGGCCGGAAATATTCGCGATATTAAAGTGGAATTGCCCTCGTGCCCGCATGCCTTGGCACGGTTCGCCTTCGCTATTCGAAATAGTACGACGCATAGGCGCACCGTCATCAAGGCGGAAACACCGGCTACGTTTCGCGAGGTAGTTGATGATGCAGATCATTGTGTTACGTGACATCTTATTCGACCAGGTCAAGAAAACAGCTCCACGATTGATACGTACACAATAGCAATATGCTTCTGCGAGAAATGAAGTTAGTGAGAGAGTGAAAGGGGGGAGGGGCAGAGAGAGAGAGAGAGACGATATTTTGATGAAACACGATCGCGCCGAGGGAACAATTTACTTCTCACTCATAGGAGAGACGATATATTGGGTATTAAATTTAATTTTAAAGGATTTACAAGAGATGGCGCAATGAGCACTTAACGGCGTCGGCCATACTGCCATACTGAAGCCAACTTCACATGAAAGCCCTGTCATTAGGCTTTAAGAATCAGTATATTTCATTTGGTCCAAGTGTAAAAATAACATATTTTTTTAGCGCATTCAATATGTGTCGAGTTTTGTGCCAACGGAACGCAATTTGCGGGAAGCGTTACTTTTTTGTTTTCATTTGAAAAAAATCGGCAGCTGAAAGTCTTCGTTTGCTGTCCGAAGCTTATGGGGATTATGCTCCATCGATCTCAACTTGCGAGTACTGGTTTAGACGATTCAAAAGTGGAGATTTTGATTTGGAAGATAAGGAACGCCTTGGACAACCGAAAAAGTTTAAGGACGAAGGCCCATATTCAGAACTAACAAAGATATTAGCGCGCTAACAAGTCGAGATGTTAGCGCTCTTATTAGCGCGCATATTCTCAACGCGATGATAGCAGCGTTTTGTTAGGACATATCGATAATCACGCGTGTTTGTAGAGCAAAATCCCTATTCAGAACCACGAATAAGTCGTAACAGCGCGCTAACATATCGATATCTTAGCAGCGCGCGATAAAAGTGGTCAGGGCCATGTATAAGCGCACTAACAGCTCCTGTCACATTTAAAGAAATAATAATAATAATTTAAATAATAATAATAATTTAAATCAATTATTGTTTTATTTTCTTCGGCAGAAAAATTTTCCCTTCTCTTGTCACTCATCTATAAAGATACGAACATGTATATTTATTAAAATTATCCGTTGTTAAGAGCAAGCAATGAATAATAAATAAGCAATGTAACAAAATTATAAGAATGAAATGTAAATTAATATAATAAATAAACTTACTATACACAATTTGACAATATATCAGAGCACTCCACTTCGCAAAAATCGTCAACAGACATTTGAACATCGCTGGATGACGCGCGTCTCGTACTCTTGCTACATCCACATTACGCGATATGAAAAGAACCAATAGCTACATACTGCTCGGAAACGAGCACTCTTATTGGTCGTCATTGCGTCTTTAGGTAATAGTGCTCTGTTCTTGCGTTCTGCATACGAGCGCTAACAAGCGCACCTACATCTCGCGTATTTAGAAGCCTATATGTCAGCGTATATGTTAGCGCGTTTTGAATATGGGCCGAAGAGTTGAAGGCATTGCTGGACGAAGATCAATGGCAAACGCTTGAAGAATTGGCAGAAGCATTAAATGTAACCAAGATGGCCGTCTCTAAACGTTTGAAGTCGATGAGAATGGGGTTCAAAAGCAAGGAAATTGGGTGCCATACGATTTTCCAGTATGACAACGCTCGGCCACATGTCGCTAAACCGGTGAAGGAAACGCTAGAGCTGCTTGGATGGGATGTTTTATCCCACCCACCGCCGTATTCACCAGACATTGCTCCTTCTGACTTCCACTTGTTTCGATCCATGCGGAATCACCTTTCTGCCCAGCACTTCAGTTCTTTGGAAGATATAAAAAAATGGCTCGATTCATGGATAACCGCAAAAGACGAGTCGCTCTTTCGCCGAGGAATCCGCCTTTTGCTGGAAAGATGGGAAAAAGTTGTAGCTAACGATGGACAATACTTTGAATAACATGTATTTGTCACTTTGTTTCGAAATAAACGTTCATTTTCACAAAAAAAATGTTTTCCTTTAAAATTAAGTTTAATACCCCAATATATCGCACGCTTCTTCGCTCAAACAGCTTACAGAAAAACGCGGCAACTTCTATTCTAGAGTTCGCGGGAGCTTAGGAAGCTTAGGAAGCGGCCGAGTAGACTTGGCCGATGAGAGACGGAGAGACGGAAAAGTCCTGGCGAGCTTCGAATCGCCAAGGTGTCGGCCAGTTCGGCCATCTTCACTCGCTCGGTTTTAGTTACCCCGGGTTAAATCGGTATTTCACCGAGGTGACTAGCCGGGTTGTGGATGCACACGGATGTTTCGTCGGGTGACAGTGGCATCGAGCCAATACGTCCGACGGCTCGCGCTTGAATCGCTACGAAAAGAAACTAACCGCAAAGACTCAACGACCCGCTTTGTGCCGTCATCTCTTAATCTCTTTACGACACCGTTTACTCCGTCCGAATGATCGAACGACCGGCCCTCGCGGCCCAGTCTTTCCTCCGGAACATTACCGCGAGAACAGATTGCGCATTTTCATTCAAGCGTCCATCATCGCCGCAATTTTACCGGGATTCTGCCAAGATCGTGCAGTTGTTGCGTAAAACGACCAACAGGAAAAACGCGGATCGCGTCGAGTCGATCATGAGAGAGAGAGAGAGAGAGAGAGAGAGAGAGAGAGGGAGGGGGGAGAGAGAGAGAGAGAGAGGAGAGAGAGAGAGAGAGAGGGAGAGGGAGAGAGAGAGAACGCGACGAACACAGAGACAGGTAGAGATTGTTGAATAACGATCAAGGTTGCGAGAAGCGAAAAGTGACGAGTTTCGCGCTGCCATGACGTTATTTCACGATGACACCAACCTCCATTGTCTGGGAATGATGCAGAGCTTTGATGGCGTTGATCGCATACTGCTTACTAGCGAAGGTAACGAAGGCACAGGCTTTGCTCTTCCCGGTGCTGTCCCTCAGCACCGAGCATTCCTCGATCATCCCGTAGACGCTGAACATGTTCCTGACATCGTTCTCCGTGAACTTCTTCGACAGCATGCCGACGAACAGCTTGCGTTCTGTAACAATGGAACATAAAACTTTCTCTAACGATCATTGCGCAAGTATATCGCGTCATGATACGAGGCGGCGAGACGCACACAATTCGTTTTGCAACGTGTTTGCGCACGTGCGCGCGATCCCGATGGCGTAGATAATAATAGCACAAAAATAGCCGCGTAACGATCGCCTTAAAGATAATATGCAATTCTTCTTCTTCACGTATGACTACGCGTCAGGGACGTGTCTGACCGACTGACTAATCGTACAGTCGGGATACCGGCTTACACAGCTATATTTAACTGTCATTAGCAAGGACATATACCACCGCTCTACGTTCAGCCACGCGGCGGATGAATCGGACGCATTGTTCATTTTTATCGCGCATCTTATAAGCCAGTAGGTCTTTTTTTTTAAGGCTGGTCTCTCTGTGTTGACTTTTATACGCTTCCACCTTTTTCGCCGTGGATAATTCCGGTTGCGGCGATACGTAGGCTCTGCTAATTGGATTCTTACTTTAGAGCTTAAATTCTAATTGGATTCTAAGTTTACATGTTAACCGCTCGACTGTCCGCGACGGTCGAGTGCCATTAGTTAGCGCACGGGTAATATTTGGCCTTTTAAACATGCTACGTACGTGGTGATGGACTTTACATTGGCGAGTGAATGGAATTACCGAATACGAGGAAATAACAGAATATCCTTTCGGCGGGCGTTCCGCGCGATGCAAACTATTTCCTTATTATTACGACCAGGAAGGAGTAATGCTTCGCTGTTTAAGGTCGCGTCAGACACGATCGTTATCCGATACTCGTGAAAACCAACGGCGGTATTGAATTGAAATCGAAGATTGCGCGACTGTTAAAACTCCTCCGATACGGCGCGGGCGTGACGTTGTTCTTAGACTTTGACTCACGTCGCCGCCTCTCGGCGAAGTCACGGGTGACATCATGATTTCCCATCTCGCTCACCGTTTAATAAGCGTTTATGGATAATGCGCGGGGTGGTCAGTTATGGGCCATTTGACGAGCGCGTACCGACGACCAGTCGAGGAGACGACCCGGTCAATATTTGTTTAGGACCGGGAGAAAAGCTCCCTCCCGGAGAAAGGCAGCTTATGTAAATTCGGCGTTGCGGGGGATAGGCCGAGCGAAATAGCCGGATGTATCTCTGCGAGACGTACCGTCCTCGGTTCCTCTCGTCCGCGTCGTCGACTCGGTGCTTCTCGGAGTTGAGTTCCCGGAGTGCCGCGCGGTTGTTCCGTCCGCGCAGCACGTCGAGAGGATCCGTCAATCGAAGGAGAGAAAAATGAAAGATCTGATCGTGTCGCCGAACACACATTTACATGCTTTAGATCTCGCTGCACTTTGATCGCTTTGATGCAAAATTGAGTCACGCGCGGTACCGAGTTTCCGCGTCTCGTTTGACTCGACGGCTCGTCGTCATCGAAACTCGGAATTAACGGAGTTATGCGTTTTCAGTAACGATATTGCGCAAACACAAACGGGGATCGGTGGAGCGACATTTATTGAAATACTTGTAAAATCAACACGGAAAAGCAAAGCTTTGTTTTTCCAATTTAGATTATAACGTACGAGAGAGATGCGCCGCAAGAGTGGATATCGGCGCATGGTTTGGAGATTATACCTGCATCCGCGGCTACCGCTTTTGTGCGCAACTATGATGCGCGTGTGTGCGCGAATTGGGTCAGAAGTATTAGATATTTGATAGCGTTATATTAATTAATATTTTAGAGCATTAGTAACGCGAGCTAATGCATTAATACTGAGCTGCGCAAATGCGAGCGGTCGACAAGAGATAGCCGCGGCTAAACACGCGACGGGCGTTAATATGCGAAAATTGTGGCTCGCTGTCAAATGTTGCAATCCAATTCGCGCGATATCAAAGGAACACGACGCTCCATTTCGCGATGCACGCAGCCATAGTAGCGCGAATTGAAATTGAGCATACGTCGATTTATAGCGCGCGCATCCATAGAAGTCGATATCGAATTCATACGGTGCGCGCGTGTGATCGTGTTTCTGGAAATCATCACGATGCTTTACGTATAAATAATTATAGCATGTGAATCTGATAAACGATACCGCGATATTGCATCTTGTAGCGCTCGCTTTGTAACAAAATATAGTAAACGATGATACCAACGACGCATATTTCTCCGAAATGTAATCGTGAAATGCGGGTGTGATAACTACGTACATAATATGCTTTCTCGAAGAAATATGAGCAAAATGGATTGGATTCGCCAAAATATAACATCATACGCAACGGAAAATTTTAGTTTCGCATCAAGTCCACAATAGGCCGTCAAATAGGCTGTTGTCCTATATGTAATGCAATAAATATTACTCAATGCTGAATGTTTCTATTGTGTCCTGCGATGACGAGCGACACGCGGAGCATGTGTATAGATTAGTTATCATTTCCGTCGGATGATTAAAATATATTTCGTCGACTCTTGAAATATATAATATAATAAATCATGCGTTTTTTTTTCAGATCAAATCGTCGTATCCACGCGAGTCAGTGTCAGTGGCAGTGTCAATGCAAGTGAATATTCGAAGTGCCACCATGGAGCAACCGGGAACCAGGAAGTTGAAAGGAGGAAATAGACAGACATATATTTTCAGGTATGTAAAATCATACAGTACAATTTAAAAAATCATACAGGTGATTCCCAAGTTTAAGAAATGTTTAACGAATTTACGGACAATAAAGAAATACTCCAGTCGGAATTTAGGTCGGTATTCATCATTCGACAACTAATTATCAACTTTTTAATCTTCTATTTAGCATCTTCTTTTTAATCTTTTATTTAGCAATCTGTACTTATTCTTATCACATTATTTCATACAATAAGAAAAATGAACCCAAGTGAAATATTGAAATAATCGAATAATAAATAATTCTGGAAAGTATCTTTTTTTAAACTTACCATGAGCAAAATGGCAATAAATAACTGTTTGTATAAAATCAAAGATAATAACTTGTAAAATATTGTATTTCAATACAATTGAATTGTCCTTAAGATATGATAAGATTTCCAGGATTAATATAGAAGCAAAATTTCAATTCGGGTCTCGCGGAAGTGTCACTCACGTTTCACATATTAGAGTGCATAATGATTAAGCATATCTGTATGCTTATTCTCATCTCACGACTCAAGAAAAGATTAATCGGTATCGCTTATTATTATTATATACACTTCAATTCTCGACGGTTTTCGCATTATTCCACGTCACGGTTGCACTGACGTCGATTTCCGCGCGGTCGTAAATCCCGAAACGTGACTCTGCTCGGGGAATTTGCTTTCCTATACCAATCCAACTCAACCGGGTGAAAACCTCCTGTGACAGCAATGTAACCCTTTGCGTTTGCAACCCTTTGCATTTAACGAGTCGTATTCAAGGGTTCGCGTACGGCCAAAATGTTCCCGAAAAAAAAGGAAAAAGGGAAAAAAACACACCGAGGCACGAGGATCAAGGGAGGTCCACAACCAGAGGTTGATCCGCGCCGCGGATAGGAACGGCGTGGACGGAAAGGGCGCCGGATATATCGGCCTGGGTCACGGCAAACTCGTCTGCAGTTAACGATTTAATTAATTTCGCAGCCCCTAGCGGCGGCGGACCGGATAGCCGCGGTTACCGGCGACGGATCGGATTTCCCGCGGAAATCGAATGAAAATTTTAAACCCGCGCGCCTCTATCCCTTCGTGAGGAAAATACGGTGTAAAAAGGCAACCGGCGGGCCGGCGGAGGAGGGAAGAAGCGGAGGGACCACGCGCGGAAGGGAACGGAAGACAAATTCTCCCTCCTTCCTCCCCCCACTGGCGTTCCAGCGAAACTGCGGCCTTCGCGGAATGTTTATTAAATACCGAAGGTGCTGGTTTCCCCGTCCCCCTTCTCTTCCTTCGTCCTCTCGGACGGACCGAAATTTTCCGTCCGTTGCAAACCGAAAGGGACGAGTATTAACCGCGCATCCGTGCGAAGGCCAACGTATCGAGTATTCGGGGATCGATCGGGAGGTGGAGTCGCGGTCGACCGGGGAAATAAGGAAGTCGGACGAAGAGGCCGCTCCGGTATCGTTGATTTAATTCGCACGCGAGAGTAATACGCACGATCGACCGGGAAGTGAAATCGAATTATTGGCGGAATAGATCGGGGGAGAGAGAGAGAGAGGGGGGGAGGGAGAGGGGGGAGAGAGAGAGAGAGAGAGAGAGAGAGAGAGAGAGAGAGAGAGAGAGAGAGAGAGAGAGAGAGAGAGAGAGAGAGAGAGAAGAGAAGAGCGACTTCGAGCAGCCGTTCGCGCGAAAATGTCGCGCAGGATATTTACGAAGCTGGCTATCAAGGGGAGGCGATTTGGCTGGGAAAGAGTTTGTCCTGTCGTTTGTAAATTGCTCGCTAAAACGATACGGAGGACATCTCGGAATTTTTGTGTGCGCTATCATTGTTATATTTTTGCGATCGTCACATCGCACGGATATCGCATGACGCGCATGATGTGAAAGAAAGCTAGAACGAGATTCTCCGTTTCTCTCGCGATAAGATGTAGTATAAATATTTTCGCATTTTAAAGCATGCGGCCTCGCGTGGGCCGCAGAATAATCTCGCAAATAATGATAATGCGCGACACAATGACGTCATCGTCACTTTTACAACGATAATCAATCATTCAATTAAACACGCTCGAACCGACCCGTGTCGTAATCATCACCACGTGTTATATATATTGTTAATCGCGGCGCGGAATTATTTTGCCGTTCCGCGCCGCAACTATCGGGTTAAAATCGGCAGGGCTTATTACCGGTTGGACGTTTCGAAACGGTGCCATTAATCGCGGAAATAAAACAAGAGGCCTCGACACAGAGACAGTGACGTAACTGCATTTGTAATGTAATTCACGTGCAAACTAGGAACGGCGTCACGCCGCCGCCGGATCATGCAGTCGGATATGAGATGTAGATCGCGCCTGCCGGAATGTTTGCCTCGCACCGAATGTTCCGTTAGGACATCTACGGCATGTCGTCGTTCGAATACGTGCGTCGATCCGATCGATCGTACTTCTTCGTAAGGTCGGTCCGGTGTACGTACGGTAAATCGCGAACTCTTTCGCTCTCCTACAGGTACGGGACGGCTCGCGGATCGCTCCCGATCGTCGATTAGAATTCTAAGAGATATACGACACTCCCGCATCGCTTTCGAATACGTACGGCGTACGTTTGCCGGTATGAAGGATTAACTGTCTGTTGCATTATTCAATGGCCGGTTGATCGAAATTCATCTTATCTGAAAGTTCCGTGCAGTGCAAACTTGGGAATGATAAATGCCCATATCGCTCGCGTGCGGAATAAATCTGATAAATGTGAAGTGAGACAACGATTACGACGTGTCGATACTTTTACACACATTGTATAGGTACAGGTATACGTACGATAAGAAAACGTCCGGCGAACGGTGGAAAATAATAAATCCGATCGACTCGCGATGCAAATCAGAGGGTCAATAATCGGAATCATTTTGATGCCGTATTTCGCTGAGCTCACATGGCGAGAATGAATTTTCGGCCGCATCTCAGGCGAGGTCAGTGAGGTGATAATTTGCAGTTTCCTCGCGTTCGCGAGAAAGCGTTTGCACGATACAAACAGGTGTCCGGACGCTTCCGCAAACGAAACGCTCGCGGCCGGCCGGTGACCAATGCGGTCGTTTCTGCTCGATTCAAGCTCCTTCTATGCATCTCGCGAGTCCATTCACGACGACGACGCATGCAATTAAATCGCATTTCGCGGACGTGATAAGTTTCCCAACGGATTCCCAGACCGGGCGCTTTCGAATCGACCCGGACCGATACGCAACCCTAGCGGCCCTTTTCTCTCTCCCGTCCTCGTTCGATGAAAGAGAGAAAGAAGGAGGAAGAGAGAGAAGCGGGGAGAGAGAGAGAGAGAGAGAGAGAGAGAGAGAGAGAGAGAGAGAGAGAGAGAGAGAGAGAGAGAGACTCGACTTTGCTTCTTTTTCTCGCGCACAGCGGCGCGAAGCACCTGAGATATGTCGCGAATGAACCGGCGGTTCTTACAAGCTGTAGAAAAAGACCAGTGCGAGATTAAGATCGTGCATGCAAATGCGAACAGGCGAGGGAACAGCAGCAGCAGCAGCAGCAGCAGTGGAATTTCGCTGGAAGGTCTTTCGATGCGCCTTTTCTGAGATGCGGCACGGGAAAGAGTCGCTACTCGATACGCATCGCCGGAAGCGTAGCTCTTTGATTTCCGCCAGAGTTCGTTCTCTAAGACCGCTCGTCTCGTTTGTCGAAGATCTCTTTCCCCTCTTCCTTCTCCTTACCCCCTTGTCGCCGTATTACCCGAGTGAAACTTCGAAATCGAGGACCGTGCAAAAGTGAAAACTAAGTTGTCAAGCGATTCTTGACTCTTCCAGACGCTGATTATCTTTTTAACTTTCGAACAAAAGTGTATATCAAATTTAGTCCACCAAACGCATCTCCCACACTTTGTTCCTTGGAGTTTTCGCAGCTTATACGCTGATTATACGCGCGAACTCAAGAGATAACTAATTTAATTGAGATTGTGATAATTATGCACGAATGAAGGCGCACGAAGGAAATGAAGGAAATGCGCGGTGAATGTGAGAGCACGCAGAAATAGAAAGTGTAGTTGTCAGGCTATGTCTTTCGAGAATTTTCATTATCAGCCGATTTAAATTCAGAACGCACTGCAAAGCTTGGCCGAATGTTCGCGAGGCGAATGTATCTCGAAACTATCTCTTATGGCAGCTCTCTTTACTAGGCTGTAGCGGAGCTATCCGCACGGCGGAAAAGTTTGCGAAACGTGAATTTTAATTAAAAAGATTTTTGTCGCGTCGCATAATCGTTACCCGCTCTATGAATACTGATTATTAATAATCATCCTGGCCCTTCCCGCCGACTCACGAATGGTTATTGGGAAAGATTAGATTCGTATCATCGCTGTTCGCATATTCGTAACGTGCGACCGCGTGTAGTCTCGCTCTGAAAAAGATTCTCGTCCTGTTAGCACTTTGGCTTTTAAGTCACGCTTGGCTCTTGAGTTTCTTTTAAGAAGCGGGAATTGATTCTGTTAATTTAATTGCCACGTTTATACACACACGTCAGGTGCATGCGCTGCTTTCTGTTCGTACAGCATGATTCGCGAGATTGTAACTATTCACGAAACCACGAAATCTATGAAACTTCAATTAGGATCCAGCGCAACCCGAATGTGGGATTAAAAACGCGCAAATCGGCGCGTCGAGAGGCCGCGAAATCAATGTGCTCGCAGTGTGTCCGACGACAATTTGTAAACTTTCCAATTTCTCGGTAGTAAGAAATCAAAGGACAGCTGGTTAAAAAGCTGACTCCAAGCTAACGTGTCCAAAAATAATTTCTTAAATTAGGGATTGAATAAAATTCGCCGCCAATCTGGCAGCGATGCACCGACAGGTGTGTCCATCTTGTGTTTGATCACAATCATACGGTTTGTTCATTAGTACGTCGTCGACGAAGCTTCCAGGAAATGACGTCAGAAATAGGTAGGCGATTTATAGACAGCTCGGAATTTCGATTAGCGAGGCGCTTTGACGTTTGCAATAATAAGACGGTAAATTAACGCTTTACGACGCACAGGATACAAAGGGGACAATTATCGTCGTGTTTGATGGAATGACATTCGCAGACAGCGGTCATAACGCGATTGTGCGGACGCAATGGTCCAACGAAACACAAACCAATCCCCGTCGCTATGATTAATATGTAGACAGTGACAAACGAGTCGGTTAGCGAAGGCACCTGCGAACGAACGAGACTGCCTTAGAGCGTGCCTGCGTAACTGTCCTAGTTCTCGCTCGCCGAGCTGACCAGTGTATTATGATTTCGCTTCAATCGCGCGTAAGATATGCAATTTGCCGTACTTCGCTGAAGTTCATATTCTACTCCGCGCGCGCGGCGCGGATTTAATATCACGCGAAGTAACTTAATCTTGATCAACACTTCAGCTGTTCGTCCCAAAAATAGAACAAAGTTTCGGAAAGCGGCTTTAGATTGGGGACGATCCCTTGCCCGCTAAATTCGACATACGTTGTGACATATTCATCGTGAAAATTTAATCGGGAAATAGCCGACTGGTTTGTCGATACGGAAGCTCGAGAGCGCGCGAAAAGAGACTTTCCCCGAGAAAAATCTCGCGAGCCGGCGAGTGAAACTGATTTCTGCGGAATGAATGTTTCTCGCGGCGCTCGCTGAAAGAAGCAAATATCGTTCTGAATTCCCTACCAGCAACCACATACATTTCGTGGAAACCCTTGTCATCCTTGTGACCACCGAATATCTTCCTCGCGATCGTACAACCGCCGGTGGGAACAAATGGTGCCATAAATCGTGGATCTACCGAGCACCAAGGATCACCATCGTTAAGGACGCGTACGAAGGATACGAATGACACCTCATACACGTCCGAATGGTGGATGAAGTTCGCCGATGTCGCATTTATGCCCGGTGGGTCGCGAAGACCCATAAACGGGGTACGTTAATTGGTCATTTGTATGGGGTCCGGTTCCTCGTGTTGTTTCCGGTTGCCTTCTGTATTCGACGCTTCGTCCATTATATACACTATCCTTATTCTCTTACTTCACGTCCCGCCGGAAGAGACTTCACGTTTTCTATGTAAGGTTCGTCCGCGGTCTGTGTTGTCCCTTCGTCATTATTTTCTTTCTCAAAGATATACCGCTCGTTTTTTTTTCCTTTTTGTTTCAGCGTAAATGACAAAGCGTCTCGGTGACATATTTTTGAGAGGGAACCATTTTTTATGTATGTAATTTGGGTCATGGTAATTGTCGCTCGAAAATTACATAAAAGTTTAAAATAAATAAATTTGACGATCAGAGTTGTATATTTAAATTACATTTAAAATGATCGCGCGGCGTTAAATGTTCGAAAAGTTGAATAAAATCACATTACAAGTTACATTGTTATTATACATCTCGCTTGTCTCATATTGCGTAATATTTTGTAATATTGCGTGACTCGTGTCTCTCGCTGCTTGTTCCAAGCATATCTCTACTCGTGAAATCGTCAGCGTGCGCATATTTGCCCGTACCTTTTTATCTGACAGATCCCCGAAACGTTCCTCGCATACGAAATCGACTACTTTCAAGGGCCTCAACAAAGAAACGGCTCCTCTATCTCTTTCTCTCTCTCTCTCCCTCTCAGGTACTTTCCTAAAATAATTTCTTGTGGCCTACATCGCCTTCTTTTACCGACTTTCACGACATGGCGGAACGTGTATGTAGCTCTTGCATATAGCTTTAATTCGTCATAGTCGACTTTTTTACCGAGTCAATAATAGCGTCTAAATTTACAGTTATTGATGCAAAACTGATTTTTATTTATCTGAAAGTAGATGCATGAGATTCTATCAAAAATAATACACATAATGGGATTAAATTGAACAATAAACATTCTATATGCATAATTCTTGCATTATTTTTATACTGATATTGTCAATATAATTGATCCAATATAATTGGACATATGTAATATAATTGTACTATATTGGAATATATAATATAATAGGACATTCAGATAGAATTAAGAAATTAAAAAGTAATAGAACAGAAGTAAACAAACATCTTGTACAAGAATATGACCAAAACACGCACAAAAACTACGTGACAGTTGCGCGACCTATACACGATCTATACACGATGATGTTTCGTAGGCACGCTACGAAATCATAACAATGCCAGACGTGGCTGAGTGAAGACGTTAGACGATACGGTCCGTTATTTCTGATTTTATTTGGATTTTATTTCTGATTTTATTTGGTTAATAAAAGTTTTCGTAGAACAAAAATCTATAGTATTCTACGCTACGATTATCATATTAAAAGTTTACCATCGCGTACAACGGCAGTAGTGCGATATTTGGAAAGGTATCTTTCATGTTAAATTTTTTTAATTTTACGAAATCAAATACGATATCGAATTCTCCTATTCGTATTTTTATTTCATCTGACGAGGAATGAAACGAGGAATTTTATTGCTATCGTACCCAATCAGGAAAATTATCTCTCTGATTTCAGGCAACGCTGGCGATCTCGCGACAGATGCAATTTCGGAAGGTGCAATTTCGATATGAGAGGATGGCAGTACCGGAGGATCCGGTTCGGGCCAAGCAGGGTTGGCTCGAAGGTAAATTCACATGTATTCGTTATACTATTCTTCTTCTTAACTATTTGAGTCAAAAATTGAAATCTAGTGTGGCAGTATATCATAGAGTGATTCAGTTTACGAGCATAAAAAGTTGTTTTTCAAAATTTCGTAATCATATATGAATTTGTTTGCCAAGTCAAGTCTCTAAATTTAACCGACAATATTACGTTCTGTATTCCAGATTTGAGTAGCAGCATGTGGCTGACCCTGATATCTGGCGACGTTTGGTGAGTCAAAAAAATGAATGATAATTATTTAAGGTGATAGATTCATAAATGGTAGAAACTTCCAATAAAGTCAGTGCGATTTACCTTGTACATTTATACATACAAAGTGGATTTTTGTATGAAATATGCTGCTCGGGACAAATAGGGCATCGTTTTTCTATACCAAACATCCATTTCAACATTTTATACATATTCGAAGTGTCAAATCTTTTTAGTGTCAATATTTCTTTTCTTAATTCAAAGTATTATACTGGTGTGCTTGAGATTATACAATTGTTTAACAAATTTTATACAGTGCAATTACCTAATTGTTCCGAGTAATGCAAAATGCGCATTCGAATTGCGCAATTACGCGAGCAATTTGCAATTATCTCGTTCGCGTTATTAGATATTCCCATCAGCTTTTAATTCGCGATTTTCTATTCTTACGTCTTACGTCGCGATTATTTCATTCATGTATTTCAATCCACGGTGTTTATTACTTGTTTACGCACGAGTAACTTTACGGATGTGTTAAGATGACACAATAACATGAATTCCATGATTTCGCCATGATTTTGTCGGAACAGGAAGTCCGTATTTTGAAACGTATAAACAGGAGATTAGTTTTTCAAATATTTTCGCCTAAAATATGGCGATCTTTAGTTTATAATTTTTACACGTGACTTACTGGTGTCTTTGATACTAGTGAGTCTAATATACCAAACTTTATCGCATCGTGATAAATAACGAATTCGTAAATTTTAATTTCGTTTCTAGAAGTCTAAATCCTCCTCTTTCGACAGAAAATTTGTTATCGATCTGTCAAAATATTGCTCCATTCTTAATACAAAATTTATAAATCTCGTTCCGACATAAATTAAAATACATTTCAACAGAACCACCGATTCGTTAAATATTCATTAAATTCTGTTAAAACACGAATGTTAATCGCGTCGCGATCGCGGTAAAATATAGGGAAGTGCAATCACAACGTGGAATGTTACGAGACACAAACTGGACGCTGCGGAATTGCAGATCTGGAGAAAGGTGGACCTGGTTGGACCTGAGTAAACCTGACTGGACGTCGATATACTTCACAACAAAATGGTGAGTGCTGAATTTCTGCACTCAAAAAATATTACATAATATAGTGCATGCACGACAGTAACTCGCACTGATTTTTAAGGAAAAGAATAGGAGCAAATATAAACTGCCGTTTAACACACTGTCGACCATATTAGTTATCAATTTTAATATGTTTCGTAGATTATGTACATTTTTCATGAGTTATTCGCAACAAACAGTATCTCAAAATTTTTATAATTTTTTTATATTTTACAATAAAATTTTAATAACAAGAATATTATTATTATGAAATTTAAGAATGAAAATCATCGGAATTTGAATTATCAGAAGTTTAAGCTAACCGGAGTGCCAGTAATCGATATTGTAAAACAGGGAGATTTGCCCGAACAATCGACAGTTTGTTCAATCTAAGTATTCGGATCTAATATCCGGGTAAAGAATACTACAGTTTAATTCTGGTAGTACATTCTGGAGCGTGTATAATTTAGAACTGTAAGATTCGCAAATGTTGATTCAATTAAAATTTAAATCTCTATTGATGCTTCAGAATACACAACTGCTACCTTTGCTCTTACAACTCCATCCTTTTCATTCCTTTGAATCTCCAAATCCAATCGAATAATAAAAAATAAATAAAGAGAATACAAAAGAGAATACAAAAAATACAAAGTCTACTTTAATTATCTATTAATCTTCATGAAATTATTTAATATTTATTATGGATATTTTATCGATAGTTAAGAATTATGAGTAAAAATTAAATGTAGAGATAAATATAAAATGCAGAGATAAATATAAAATATACAAATATTAAATAATTTCGGAGCATCAAAAGAGAGCAATAACCTCTAATCTCATGTGTTCGACAGAATTTGTATGTTAATATAAAACTAAAATTTTGACTCAGCTATTGATATCGCAATATTTATTATTAGTTAATGATATCGTTTGATTCTTATTGACCACATTATTTATTAATTTTTGCAAATTGGTTAATGACGAAACTTAACTATTTACAATTAAAAAGATAGTTATTTATCATTTTCGTATTAAAACTTTTGATTTTAAACTCTAGAATGTGCTATTGAGTTATTGTATGATGATTTCAATATGACGTCTTATATAATGAAAGAGCAGAAAATTTTCTGCAAAACAGATATATATATGTATATATATATATATATATATATATATATATATATATATATATTCATATAATGTTTTTGACAATTTTTATGTGATGTTTATATGATGTTATATATGATTTTATATGATGTTTATGATTGTTATATCATATTTGCGAAAAATTTTTTATTACAACTTGATTACATTGATTTATGAATACGTGAATTTAATTATGCATTTATGAATATTATCCAATCTTTATAAGTTTAGCGTCAGCGAGACGCATTTAGACGTAACAATGATAAATTGTTTTAAACAGATCCTTCTTTTTTCACCTACTCGATTACTATAAGCCGATTAGACGGAAATTAGAATCTCGTGAATTTAATCTACGCAGATATATCTACAATCGCCATATCCTAGAAAAGATTTACGTAGTAATCAATATTAATTCGTTACTTGATATATATGCAAAACATGGGTATCGGGTAGTTATGATTACGTGGAAATTTAATCACATATTGACGTTTGAAAGTCTCATGATATACATGTCGCTATTGATAGACGGTTATTTATTCAAACAAGTTTGTCTCGATGCAAGATCCGAATATCCGAGATATCAAACGCGCATATATCTAGTATAAGTTCATTAAGTTGTCACATATACGTATGTCTGACATAAAACCTCTGAAGCTCGCGTGTATAATCGACGTAAAACAGTGTTTGCTCGCAAAGGCTGGTTTTTCCGTCGGATGTAACCGTAGGATTATCGCGATAAACATGGACGCGTCACGACCAACAGCTAGGATCCGCGAACGTTTTAAATCTATTTCCGCGCGAGGTTTTTCATCTCTTCGGAAGAACTGACATCCCGATGTTTCGCTTAAACTACAAGCGCGGCGATTGTTTTAGCAGAATATCCCCTCGACTGTTATCACGTCCGAAAGATCCCACGGACACGGCGGACACTAATCCCCGAGCGCGTTTACTTATCATATGCATGTTGCCGCGCAAAACCCCGCATGAATATGTAAAACGCGGGTCATCCGCAACGCGTTCTTCGCAGGGAACGAAATTGTACACCCGCTAGAGCGCGAGCGCGAGAAATCACCTACGTTTCCGAGACGAATACCGACCGATCTTCGAAATCCTTGTTCGCTGTTTCGTACTGCGTTCGCGTCGCGCGGCGAAACTGCAAACGGAGCGAGCTGAGCCGACTCGATTGCCGGATAATCGTCGGTAGTCCCGATAATCGCGTAATTACTCGGCACGCTCAACCGTAATCGTTCTCCGCTCGCTGCAATAATAGGCACATCGACGACACATTGCTGAGCGTACGCAAGTTGCGCGATCGTTGAGAATCGCGAACGTGTTAACATTTTTTTGTTTCGAGTATGCCGTCTCTGCTGTAGCTAAGGACATTTCACTTAATAACTCCACGTGCGACACTGAGTGGCAATTAATAATTGATGAGATATCTAAAGTTCTCAAGTCAGTTATCAAGGAAACGACTCGAATACAAAGTCCGGCCGTCGTATAATGTTTCAGGTTTTATAAATTTTTGAGACTTTGACCGCGACACGTGACGCATACAAGTACACTCGTGTTTTTAATCCTGGCTCACTACAAATAGGATCTCGTAACGTGTTTTCGTTGGCTAATGTTTGTTGATATGCGAATACGGCATAGGCGAATGATCCGAAAGGACACGGTATATTCAGCAAAGTGCTGCTCTTGCACGTGCATCTTTTTTGCACAGCACTGCTCTCGCATCTTCCTCGCACAGTCGATGTGATGTCGGAGGGTAGAGCTTTGGAAAGACGCGGACGCATAAATTTATAGCGTCCTCTGTAATTCGAAGATAGGATACACAGGGGAATATCGTGAAATTGCGCGTACACGAGACTTGATATCGCAGCGACCCAATAAATAAATGCTTCCCGCGCTAGCGGTTAATTAACCACGGAAACACGGCGCGAGGGGACATCGTGAAATTGTATTTGTACAGCTGCAACGTAAGTTCTTACATAAAGCCGGAGTGTAACGCGTCGCAACGACACACGGGTACCGTATGAATTCACAGAGCATTCCTAGCCGACACGGCGGCTAATATTCCACGCGGCCGAGCAACGCACACACACACACACATACACACGCGCGCGCGCGCGCGACGCAAATGAGCGCGTTGAAAATAAGTCGCGTAAAGTTGCTTTCGCAACGACGCGACGGACGACGTGGTGCACACCTACATTGCAGTCAGAAGATAACGGCCTGGCGACGACGTTAGGTGTGCGAAGCGTTGCATTTGCTTGCGTCCGTTTGTCCGTTTGTCCGTTTGTTCGTTCGTCGAGAGTCGAGAAGTCTGAGAAGCGAGAATGTTTAAGACACTCTTGGCGCGAGCAGGCGTTCGGTGCGATTACGTGTCGCGTTAAATTAAAACGGAGAAATAAAACGAGCATATCGCGCGCTCATCGTGCTCACGGTGGCGATAAAACATCGGCTCAGTCGATGCTCGGGCGAGAACTAGAGAGCGAATTTGGCGAAACGTAAAATAGTCGGGAAACTCGGTCAACTCGTTCGGAGATAGTTCTCCTTCCGCTTGATTTACAACGAATCGTTGCTGAGATATTATATAGATAATCCGCCGGAGCTCTAAATTAATTCGCGACGCAGTCGAGCGTCTACCTGTCTCTCGGTCTCGCACTCGTCTCGGTCTCTCCGCGGTCGTCGCGGTGTCATTTTCTGTCTTCGCGTCGCAAATTCCCGCGAGCGCGTTCGAAAATTTAGGATTAGGAACGTGCGGGAAAATTTAGGACCTTAACGGTACTCGGCCGGTGCGTCCGAGTCTAAACGCGTCGTTGTCGGTGCACAGCTTGCCGAGTTCTGATAAGTGGGTTGCTACAGGTAGCCCGTTCCTCGCGCGTCGAACGCGCCACTCGTACGTGTACCTGTCCGCGCAAGAGCGCGCAATGGCACACGACTGTGCACACATATACACACACACACACACACACGCGCGCGCGCGCGCGCGCACGAGCGCGTGGTACGGTACCATGATGCGGAGGAGGTAGTGGAGCAACCAGCGGAGAATCTAGCTGGGGAGGTAATCGCAATCCCGTCTTGTGCAACCGGATGGCCGCCGATTTCTACGGAACCGTTCGCTTCGTCATACATGAGAGAAAAAGAGAGAGAGAGGGGAAGAGAGAGAGAGAGAGAGAGAGAGAGAGAGAGAGAGAGAGAGAGAGAGAGAGAGAGAGAGAGAGAGAAGAGAAAAGCTCGTCGGGGTCCGGCGAGCTCGACTCTCCGACTCGATTCGGATCAAACGACTCCGCCGGTATCGACCTGACTCCTTCGAGTGAAATCTCCGGCCTCGCAGAGGGAAAACGTTCTCTCTCCAGATACGATCTGAAGTTCCCTTCGCGCGCGCGCGCCGCTTCTTTGCAGTACCTGAGACCCGTGGTCGCGACTAGCGTCGTCAACGACGACGACGACGACGACTTCGCTTCACCCTATGTCGCTATTCCGCCGACCGGAATTGCCTTGATACTCTCTCGTGGTTCACCTGGTTGCGCGATCGCGTCAGATCGATGTACACAGAATCGTGCACGGTCGACATGGGAAACTTAGGATGTGTCAGGGCGATTTTACGCGGTGCTTTCTCTCGGTACGGTTGCGGTTATAATGACAGGACAATTGACGTTAAGGTAATCGAGAGATCACTCGTGATCGTCGTTTCGCTACGATTCTTCTGTAAGATTTCGTCTTTGTTCCTTTACCTCCCAGGTTTGCTGCGGGAGAGAGATTCGGTCAGAGAATGAACTGTTATCTCCACCATGGCTTTCGGCTGGCTTTTCGTTAGGTGTGTATCGTTAAAGTCGGCGCAGAAATTGGAGCAAATAGAGCTCGGCTGCAGCCACGGTCGCGTTCATTTATGAAACGCGAGTATCTTAAATATTCCCGCGGGGATCACGCGGATACGCGTGACACAAAGTCGTCCCTCGTCTATGTGATTATAATTTTCACATCGAGACCGGCACAGACACCACGGGGCTATCAATTTTATTCGCGACGACTACAATTACTTTGGAGTATCGTTTACA